TGTTCAAGAGAACCCCACATGATGACAAACCTGCCATGTCAGTCGAGGATGAACTCTTCTTGGAGATCATGGATGAACAAATGTTCATGGACGAGTCTAACAGCTGGGTGGCACCACTGCCCTTCAAAACGAATAGACACAGATTACCCAACAATCGAGACCAAGCAGTCAAACGTCTCAACTCACTGCGTCGAGCGCTTGACAAAAAGCCCCAAATGAAAGAACATTTCTTGAACTTTATGGAAAAAATGTTTGAGTCAGGACATGCTGAACCCGTTCCGCCACCCACCAAAGATCAAGAGTGTTGGTACCTACCGTTTTTTGGTGTGTACCATCCACGCAAACCTGATCAGATACGGGTAGTGTTTGATTCTAGTTCAACTTACAAAGACACGTCTTTGAACGATGTTTTGTTGAGTGGTCCAGACATGAACAACACACTTATTGGGGTCCTTTTGCGCTTCCGAAAAGAACCTGTGGCAATAACTGCGGACATACAGCAAATGTTCTACTGTTTTGTCATTCGCGAGGACCACCGCGACTTTGTGCGTTTCCTGTGGTACGAAGGTAACGATCTCACAAGGGCAATCAGAGAGTACAGGATGACCGTACATGTGTTTGGAAATAGCCCGTCTCCTGCCATAGCTATATATGGTCTCCGGAGGGCGGCGCTGGCCACACAGGATGAGTACAGTGAAGAGGCCAAACAGTTTGTCCTTAAAAACTTTTACGTTGATGATGGACTGGCTTCTTTTTCTTCAGACGTTAGCGCCATTCAAACTCTGAAAAGTGCCAAAGAAATGCTGGCGGACTCTAACATTCGTTTGCACAAAATAGCCTCCAATAACCCAGACGTAATGGAAGCATTTCCATCTGAGGAACGTGCAAAAGAACTGAAAAGTCTTGACCTTGGTGCAGAGCCTCTGCCCTTACAGAGAAGTTTAGGGCTTAACTGGGACTTGCAACATGACTGTTTCACCTTTCTCGTATCAAGAGAAGACAAGCCGTTCACAAGAAGAGGCATCCTTTCTGCTGTTAACAGCTTGTACGATCCTCTTGGGTTTGCTGCCCCCATCATCATGCAAGGTAAAGCTCTCATTAGAGAATTGTGCTCAGAGAACTGTGAATGGGACACTCAATTGCCAGCAGAAAAAGAGGCACAATGGAAATCTTGGAAAGATTCGCTTGTAGACCTTGAGAAACTTCAAATTCCTAGACAGTATGTGCACACGTCACTGCAATCTACCTGTCAAAGAGAGTTGTGTGTCTTTGCAGATGCTTCTACATCAGCTATTTCAGCGGTTGCATACCTCCGAGCCATAGATTCTGAAGGTCAAGTCCACGTAGGCTTCTGCATGGGCAAGTCCAAATTAGCTCCTAGACAAGTCCACACAGTACCTCGCTTGGAGTTATGTGCTTCCGTTCTGGCGGTGGAGTTAGCAGACATGTTGCTGAATGAACTTGACATAGAAATTCACAATGTGAAGTACTACACTGACAGTCGAGTAGTCTTAGGCTATATCAATAACATCAGCCGAAGGTTCTATGTCTACGTAGCAAACCGTGTTGCTCGCATCAGGAAGTCATCCGATCCCAGTCAGTGGCACTTTGTGAGCACGGAAATTAATCCTGCCGATCATGGAACACGGCATGTGCCAGCTTCCTTATTGAGTTCTACAAATTGGTTCACTGGTCCCGACTTCTTGAGGGAAAGAGATGGAGAGTGTCCTGTGCAGCAGAATGACTTTCAGCTTGTTGAACCCTCCACGGACATTGAAGTCCGCCCACAAGTCTCTACGCTTGCAACTACAATCGTGGCAAATTCACTCGGGTCACACAGGTTTGAGCGATTCTCCAGTTGGAAACGCCTCACTCAAGCTATAGCGAAGCTCATTGAAAAGGCCAGATCTATCTCAAAAGCTACTGATTCAGATGAAGCAAAGATGGACGCTTTAATTCAAGCAAAGTTAGTCATTGTCCGAACGGTTCAAGGTGAGTCTTTTGAAGAAGAATTGAGAACTTTGAACAAAGGCGAGGACATAATAAAACACAGTCCATTGAAGAATCTCAATGTGTTTTTGGACAAGGAAGGTCTGCTGCGAGTAGGAGGACGTGTGACTTCTGCTGAAATAACTCAAGAACAAAGTCAGCCTATTGTGATTTCGAAGAAGCATCACATTGCTGCCTTGCTGGTCCAGTTCTACCACGAACAGGTTGCGCATCAAGGCAGACATATCACTGAAGGAGTCGTCAGGTCTGCTGGACTGTGGATCCTTGGAGGAAAAAGGTTGGTTTCAAATCTTCTCAACAAATGCACAACCTGCCGCAGGTTAAGAGGGAATGTTCAACAACAAAAAATGGCTGACCTTCCGGCTGATCGTCTTTTCCAATCTCCTCCTTTTACACATGTCGGAGTAGACGTGTTTGGACCGTGGAACATATGCATCCGTCGTACAAGAGGTGGAGTGGTAGAAAATAAACGATGGGCAGTAATGTTCACTTGTTTGGTCACACGAGGAGTTCACATCGAGGTTGTGGAGTCTCTCTCTACTTCAAGTTTCATAAACGCGCTCAGAAGGTTCCTGGCCATAAGAGGACCCACCAAACTTTTCCGTTCAGATTGTGGAACGAACTTTGTAGGAGCATGCAAGGAGCTTCAGATAAGTTCAGACCCAGAGCTTCAATCCTACCTCAAAAAAGAGGCATGCACTTGGAAGTTTAACCCACCTCACTCTTCTCACATGGGAGGGGTGTGGGAAAGAATGATTGGTGTGGCTCGACGTATCTTGGATGCTATGATGCTGAAGGTTCATTCTCCAAATCTGACTCATGAAGTACTTGTGACGCTCATGGCAGAGGTAACAGCCATAATGAATGGTCGTCCATTAGTACCTGTGTCATCGGATCCTCAACAACCTGATTTACTGACTCCGGGGGCTCTTCTCACTCAGAAAATCTGTCCCGCTTCTATTCCTCCTGGGGACTTCGATCCAAAAGACTTGTACCTGAAGCAATGGAAACAGGTGCAAAGTCTGGCTAACTCATTCTGGAAACGATGGCGAGAAGAGTATCTTGCTACCCTTCAACCAAGAAGAAAATGGCAAGCAGATCAACCAAACTTAGCCATTGGTGACGTTGTCCTCTTAAAGGACTCTCAGGTCAAAAGAAACGAATGGCCTACTGGCCTTATTGTGAACACTTATCCTGGGAGAGATAAAAGAGTACGTAAAGTAGATGTCCGCATAGTTAAAGAAGGTACTGCTAAGGTGTACTCAAGGCCTGTTTCGGAAATTGTGTTATTAGTAAAGGGTTAATAGTGTAATAGTAGTATTCCAGGCGGGGAGTGTACTGCCCATTGTGAGAAGAGGTATTTGGGTTTTGAGTTTCTTGTGTTTTGTCCACTCAGAGTTTCCGTAGCTGAGTTGTTCTCATAACATTCCCCCTGCAAGTCGATCTCCAGAGTGTTAAAGTTTCTGAACTGTCATTTTGGTCTCTGACGAATATCTGTCTGTAAGTATTTGTTTCTTAGAGATCTTAGCCTACTTTTGATATCCTATTTAGTCATTTTAGCATTTTTCTGTTTGTAATTTGTAAGGAAATATGTGACGCTAATAGCGTTAGCTTCTCTATGGCATTTTCTATGTAAATTAGCATTGTGCTATTTGTTTGCCATACAATCGTGATTTGAAAGTTTAGTTATTTCTAGACTACATATTTATTTTTGTATTGTATATTCTTCATATTGAGATTGTAATATGCTTTTCTTTGTTTTTGTATGTTACAGTTTTACAGTCTTTTCAGTAAAACACCACAATACAGCAAGAAGCTTCTGGTACTTTATTGGAAACTGTTAGCTATCTGTAAAGCTAGTTCATGCACACCAGTGAAGGCAGAATAATAATAAAAAAAAAAGAAAAAAAGAAATATACATACATAGCCAATAATGAAATTTTATTCGTGGTCCATAATTATAAAACATAACCCCAAGTGACAATCTTATGATCATATGATTGACAATGTGTAATCATGGGTTGTCAAGTTATATTTATTAAATCTAGGCAATTTCTTAACGAAACATCATTTAAAATTAATTTAGCTACAATTAGAAATAGCAAATCAGTGTTTGTTTGTTTTTTAGAGCACAGGTTAACGAAAATTTAGGCTAAGTTAACTTTAACAGTCATGTAAGGATGAGATGCTATTCAATGAAGAGTCGTGAATTGAAACTTACCAGAAAAAAGTGTATATCTTCAGACTGGAGAAGCGCGTGTATTTTGCGCATGATTATTATTATTATTATTATCATTATTGATTATTGTCATTATTAATTCAATCTCCGATCATTATTTTACAGGGCATATGTTTAAGATGTCCTCGTTTGGCTGGTTTGGAAGGACCAATTGTACACGAGTGACAGATTTGGAAGATGAATGATACACGAGTGTCATTCATACACTCGTGTATCGGAGGACACTCCCCCCCCCCTTCCCTTCCTCTTTTATTGTTCATGCTTTTAATGCTATTTGCGCAGTTATTCATTTTTATAATGCTGTAAAAATATTTGTTCTGTTTTTCCTATTTAATTAAAACTTTTAAAGCCTGTTTGTGCAGTTGCATTGTTTTATTTAGTCATTAGGACAGGACAGGTTGTGAGGACGTCGTGGTAAAGTTCCATTTTTTAAGATCTTTGCTAACGTTCCAGAAACGTTGTGGGCACGTCCTCAAAAGATGTCGCTACTTTATCCTATGGAGAACGTTGTAGAGACGTGGTCAACTGGTCTCCAGATAACTTTCCAGAAAATCGCGTTACAAGTCCTAGTAATACTAAATGCCATTTGGATACTATATGAGAAATGTAATTTTAATTCATCAAAGATTTGATAAAATTATCTGGTGACCAGTTGACCACGTCTCTACAACGTTTTCCATGGGATAAACTAGCGACCTCTTTTGAGGACGTACCCACAACGTTTCTGGAACGTTAGCAAAGATCTTAAAAAATGGAACTTTACTACGACGTCCTCACAACGTTGCCATAAAGTAATGTCACACTGACCAAATGACGACTTACTGACGACGTCGTCACAACGTACTGTGTTAGCTGGGAGGATATTGTTTAATATAACTCTAATTGTTTTCATCTAAGAGAAGAATGTCATATTGCCCATTGTAATATATATCCCAGTAGTATTTTAAATGATATAGTTGATTCTATAAACAACTATATAAGAGATCATTTTCGTCTTTCTCCGGCGTGGTGAAGAGATGAGTCCTGTGGTAAGCGAAACCGGAAGTGTCCGACCGCACACACTCACGGATCAGAAATCCAAAATGGCGGCCGCACGTGCAACTAGCGGAGATGCTCCACTGATGATTGACTGTGTTGCTACTGTTATATCTTTTTTGCAGGTAAGATTACTTCCCAGATAGCACTGAACGTCTTGCCGACGTTGGCAATTGGAGGGCACCAGCGGCAAAGTATCGGGAGGGGATTTTCCCCTGCACAACAAAAAACTTTGGTGGGTAAACCATCGGCGGGCCGCGGGATGAATAGCCACTTTCATGCACAACTCCGGAGATCGGTGGAGGAACCGTGATGAACCATTTTGCCGATCCCGCTTCTATTTTTTTAAATAAATAATATCTGCGCAACCGTTGGTCCACATCAAGACCTTCACGCGCGTGCACACGTTTTTATGACGGTGCGCTATGCGCGTGAGTGATCTCAGCATCGTCTACACTACAGCCTACAGCTAAGTCTACAGCAACGGACTCTGTGAGTATGTTTATCCTTTTCAAACACACCGTTTTCAGGCCAGTAAGTGTTTATTTTGTTTTATGTACTTATTTTTTCATTGAAAAATATAATTTTGTTAGAAAACGTCGAGTTTTCTGAGAAATGTTTACGATACGGATGACAGAGATTGGCGGCGGAGGATCAACAGTTATTTTCTAACTGTTGACTTTAATTATTAACTGACTGTTTTATGTTCTCGCATTAAATATTTTCAATTAGTTATTTTTGACAGTAGCCTATGTATTTTTAGACATGAGGGGAACTCGTTTTTCGTCAGTCTGAGGATAACCTAAAACAACCAGGCTAAACTAATAAACGGTCATAAAACTATGGACTGACTTTTTTCCAAACAATCATACATCTGTCCATTTATAATATTAACCCCTTACACTCAAGGGATTTTTAATTATTTTGTTTAAGTGACATATGCTTAAAATTAAAGCAGCTCTTTTGTTGTGCGTTTACCGTGAAAAGTAGACCTGTCAATCAAAGACCTAGTTTAGTACAAGCGCGCATGCCACTAGACAGTCATACAAAGAAGTGGTTATAGTAAAGTGATAGTAAGTGAAGACACACAGCTATTCATAAAATAGAGCCTTAACCTTTGTTAAACAAAATAGAATGGTCTTTTCTGTTTTTTTCAGTGAGTGATTGATCTAGAAGTCATCCTACAGTTCTGAATTGCCATTTTCTTAACATACTGTTTTAGTCAATAAAGATAAATTGAGTGCACATTAATTCACAAAGGCATTTGCAATATATTTGACTCCTTTTCATGTTTCGTCTTTTTCTCAACAGGAGCTACATACACCCCAAAGGCTCTTTTCAGAGCCCAGGCCCATTTTGCACAGCGTCTTTGCCTTTGTACAGTAAGTATGTGTTTTAATTGACCTCAAAGACAACTGAAACACTATCTTTAACTAATCTAGTTAAAAGTTATTTTGCACATGATTTCCATTACACGAGAGTAGATGTTAAAACTTCATGCAGATTTGTACTCGGCTTTCGCCAAGATTAGCACAAACTAAGACGTAGCTTTATAGTAAACTATGCTTCTCCATCCATTTACACTTCTTTCCATATGTTGGTGTGACTCCCCTTCTGTCCGGCATTACGGCTGCAGTGTACTTGCCGCGTCAGCACACACGACGGCTGGAACTACAGTATGGTCTTCCCAGTGGACCAGCACCACATCCATCTGGATTGAGACGAGTAGGGGACATCTCTAGGGTCTTCACATATTGATACACACGTATGTAATAACTTTCCCCTGTTTGCTTGTCTTGATTATTGGCATCCTAACGCCGCCTTCACACTGGCAGTTGAAATCAGCTCCGATGCGGCTGCGAAACGACCGGAAGTCATTCATTTCCTATGGAGATTCGCAGACCGCATGCGAATGGGTCCGAAATGGCTCCGACCGAGTGCGGTGCGAAGAAAATCGTGTCCGTTGGTCATCCGGATGCGTTCAAAAATTTGAACTCTTGCGAAAAGCTACGGACGGTTCCTATCCGACAATTCCAGCGGAAGTTGACCGTTGCTATGGTACTGATAAACAAACCTGAATTATTAACTTTTAATAGAATAAATATTGATTTATAACGATAAGTTGTGATGTCATTTTTTATTTTCATGACTTTCTAACGTTTATAAGGGCAGTTAATACAATTAAATTGAAGGTAGACATTGAACTATTGACCACTATATCACATTTTTTAGCCGACCTGACATGTCAACGTCCTGAGCAACTTTCCTCACGCAGCTTAACCCTAATCAGAGAGATCATACAGAACTGACAGAATCAAACTTTAATCTCTCCGCCATTTTTGTTCTACCCGCGTCCGACGCTTTTCACTGTCAGGTACGACGTCCGCTGGGAACGTATTGCGTATTACGGAGCTGATTTCAACTGCCAGTGTGAAGGCAGCGTAAGATCCTAAAAAATGTGACCTTTACCTGTCTCTGCCTTTACTGTCTGTACTATTAATTTTGCATCAGGAAAGCCTATACCTTATAGTGGAGCGAGTGGACTAGTAGCAAAGGAATGGTTTACAGGTAGGCCAGGGCAGTAATGTAGTGGAAATATTTATCTTTGACCTAAATAAGGCTACAGGAGAACTCCATTGTCAACATCAGGTTAATGCTGAGTGCTGTAACGTTGAAAATTTTATGTTTATGTTGGTATAGATATTTGTCAACTGTCTATCACTGTCAATAAAAGGTATTTTTTGTCACTCAGCAAATATGATAGAGACATGGCAAACTCAAATTTTTCTGGACACGATAATTTACATTTGCATGCTTGTTTATTTTCCTCGTCGTCTCTCTCTGTCTCTCTATACCAAAGAGACTGGATGACAAACTCCCGGTTCCTTAGCGTGAACTAGAGCTTAGATTCTCTGCCCGAGCAAGGACTTGACCCGACCTGGGCTGACACTATCCTCGGGTCGGGCCTTAGATCTAGAGACGTGCACTCCCAACGCAATAGAGTGCGGCGCTGCACTAGATTCGATGGCCGAGTGCAAGCGGTAATGCACTCACTCTGTGTGTGCGGGTTGCGGGAGAATAAACCGATTTGCGGTACTCCCGCAAACTAGAAATATTTATTTATAAAACATATAAAAACTAATAGATTTTTAGTCATCTGCAAGAACAACTAAAACAAAGTAGTAACGATTTACAGGCTAGAGTTTCTATTTATAACATGTTTGCATTATTGAGCAATGTAGCCAATCACATGTTGATTTCTTGAACGCCAATCAGAAGCATTTAAGATATACTTCCCTCACTGCTCAAAACAGACTTTTTTTATTCAGTGATGAATTCTGTATGCTGGCAAATCCTCTAATTATAACAAACAAAGTGTAGCCTAGATATTATATGAGATTCATTGTGCAGTTAGCTTCATTGGTAATAACAGAGATGTGTGAGATCATGATGAACTGTCAGCTTTTTTGGAATTATTAAGGGAGCCCATTCAGTCATGCCAGACAATGCACGCAGTAGCTGCTTGCTTTATGTTAAATTAACAGTGGTTTGTGTGTTAATGTTTTAATAACAAATAATTTAGGGTATGGTCGGGTTTTGTTTACAACCATTTTATTTGTATTTTGGCTATTTATTCAAGTGCATTTTCTGTTAACCGGGACATTGCTTTTATTGTTTTTTGGTTGTTTTGTAAATTTATTTTGTATATTTAAAATGTTTTCCAATTTCAGTGAGCTTCATATGTTTTTTTGACTTTTTGATCATCCTCTTTGTATCACACAGAGTATGTCACCCATGTCATATTTCTCTCTGTTCGATGTGATCAATATGATAACTAATCTTTGTAAAAACGTTTCATTTACAGACCATTGCAACTTGGATCGCCATCACCACCACCATCCCCTGCATCAGACACCCTAAATCGTGCCCTTCATCAGACACCCTACAGTAAATGCACCACAAACAACACAGGCAAAGAAGAAGAAAACGCACGACAAATCTCCTCCAGCCCATCCCACATCATCGTATAGTAAAGGTAAGTGTCCCCTCTGTAGTAAACTGCATCAGGTCCCTAAACTCAAGTAGACACAGTGTACTGCACAGGTCCACAGCGCATACCATAGTTTGGTGTTCCAGATATGATTTTGGAGTTTATATTGGTAGTGTGATAAGTTAGCCAAGGTTTTCTGTCTTTCCAAGAGGCCGCAGTTAATATTCAAGAAGGAGGACTGGAGGACTGATATGGAAGCACATGGGTAGCAATATTCAATTTGAAATGTAATATGCAAAATGACAATGCAATATGTAAAATGGCATTGCATTGTGTATTTAAATTTATATTTTACATTCTAGCAACGTTTGTTGCAAAATGAAAATGAAATTACATAATTTACATTTGCCATTTCATACACTAGTTTTAATATGCATATTGAAATGCTTTATAAGTGTCAAAATTAAAATGAAAATGAATTACAGAAATGATTAGATATGTGTAACATGTTCAAGCAAAAACTGTGGCAAATTTAATGATCATTCAAATGTTACTTTTCTTAATTGCGTTTACACTCACAGTCAAGACACTTGCGATGAAATTAATCAAATTAAATCATGAAATTAATTTTCATTCAAATTGAATATTGCTACCCATGTGCTTCCATAGACTGAAGGCTTTCCTGACTGTAAGCTATTTAAGACGCAGACAAAGAACACACTGACACACACTCGCAAACACACACACAAACACATATAGAGCACAGCACAGTTCTATGCAAAGTGGGGAATGACAGAAAAAGTTTGAGAACCACTGATGTGGAGTGACACTGGGTTAGCTCTGTTATTTTGACATGGGTTAAGATGAGTTGCTGCTGATAGAAATGTGTGGCAATTACTCAGCTCACTAACATTAGTTTATATAATTGTGATAAACTTGACTTACTGTTCACTCCAATAATTTGGTTTTTCTCTATTTTCTAGTGACGCCGCCGGATAATAATGACGGCCTGTGTGCTTTGCAGCCTTTTCCAGGGATCCTTCAGAGGACTAACAATGGTACGATATTTTATATATAATGTATGCTACTGCACTTCTTACTCAGAACATCAGACTAAATTAGTAAAAGTATAAATTTGCTTTATTTATTTTTTATTTTGTTTCGTTTAGGTGCTGTGTTAAGAAATCCTACCCAACAAAATTCCACTGAGGCAGATGTAGAGATGACTGCGAGAAACTGGCTGCGGCTGAGGAGGGACAGGAAGCAAGAGGGCGAGCATCTTAAAGTGAAATAATTGATTGGACTGATTTTTCCTGTTTACCTATTTTGGAGGGAATTTCTTTTTGTTGTTGTTGTACTTTTCTATGTGTGATTTGATGAGTGTTAAAATAAATGATACTGCTTTTGCAAAAACAAAAGTAAAAAAATAAATGTTCAAGGTCATCTTCCGGTGCTCTCATTTTTATTATTTATCCTGGAAAACTCCTAGCTTAATTTGCATGACCATCAAACTTAATTTTAATATCACTGATCCATTCATTTTTTATGTTAGACTGACATTTCCCAGGTAGTCAGACTGTGTTTGAAATAGGCTACACCCTACACAAACAATCACTAACTTTCAATTTAACTTTCACTTCAATTTAATTGCAATTGACAAAATTGTTAGGGAAGAAATGTTACGATTAACAAATCATATTGTTATTGATTGTTGATAGACAATAGGCAACCTGTGTCCTTGGAACAATCTGACAGCAGTTAGCCTAAAGAAATCAATAATTAGACATAACGGTGGGATCCTACTAGAGCGGCGAAAAACATTCAGAAGCCTCGTTACCTTTGACTTAACACCGGAACAGCTGATTTTCAAGCATGCTGTGCCCTTTCCAGCGATGCAGACGAAAATCAGCTGTTCCAGTATTAAGTCAAAGGGAGCGAGGCAGGCGTCTGAATGTTTTCCCTGCTCTAGTGGGATCGCGCTGAATAGGTCATAATAATTATATCGGGTATACGTTGGCTCACGGTCGGCGATCATGTCGGGTATACGTTGGCTCGCGGTCGGCGATCGTTCTAAAACCCCCGTCTTCCCAATGTCTTGCCGATTAGCTACCGATCTCCATAAGACATCTTACCGAGGCACTTTATGTCGGGCAGCCACGCGCGCCCCAACGTCGGCACGATCTAATTTGTTGTCTGGGTTGTGTCTATTATAAGTCAAATGGGTCCACGAACAATGTTTAGTATTTGAGTATTTAGGATTTATGTTAAAGCTATACGATTTCAAAGATTGGTCATTATTAATATCCTCGTTTAGATGCTGTTTATGGTTATATAGTATAATCCTAACAATATAAATAGAAAAAAGAACGAAAAAAATCCATTCACTCTATTGGCTGTAAAGCCACATAAAAGATGACCAATGGAAGCTTTGCGAGCGCAAAGCTACATTGGTCAACTGCTCTCATCCAATCACCAGCTACACTTGAAACTCCGCCTGGAGCTCGCGTCTCCACCCCGACCGCGCCCAACCACGCCCGACCGCGCCCGACCGCGCCCCCCTTCTGCGTCATGAGAATCGCGCACGTTAGCAGGTGACCGCACATGGTAGCTAGCTAAGTAGCACATCAGACAGCAATGGATAACAACGAAAAATACATCAGCACGCGTCCCCTGCTTGCCCCTACAAGAAAGTTAGGACGGAAGAGAAGTCGTTTGAGGAAAAAGCAGAGACGAAAAGAAAATGTGAAGAACGCCGAAAGTTGAGTAGGATAAATATAGGGTTCACCATTGACCGATGGAGGAAACTTCAGCGAGATCTGGGACTGAATACCGAGGCTGACACTGCTGACTTTTTGTTGAGCAGGTAAACATTATTTGTACTCTTATATGGTGTGACGTGTTACAGCTTTTTATCAGTCTGAAAACTTGCTAATGCTGCCGGTCGGCATCTGTTTAGCATCACCTGTATCACGGTTCAAAGTAAATATATTTCTTGAAGTGCTTGAATATATTGCAGTATGCCTAGCGGGTTTCTGTTCGAGCCGATCGGAATTTCAAAAAGATGCGCTGTATGCTGCTATAACAATTACTCAAAACCTTAAACAATGCGGCAATGAAACTTCGTATGTGAAACGATAATTGGTATGCAATGGAGATAGAAAGACAGTATGCACAGTACTGTTATTTAGAGGTTGTGTGATATTGATGGGTAAAATAATAGTTTAAGTGACGCGAGTTCAGTAACACACGTGGAGTTCGCGGGTGTCCGCCATTTTGCGCAAGTTGCATGCAGCGGGGACATTAGAGTTAAAGGGCAACTCCATCCATTTGCATTAATCTTTCCATTTTTTTTATTTTTTTTTTTTCCGAGAGATCTTTTTTTTTATTAATGCTGAGAACAGGATACATAATAAAACACAATACAAAGGAGAAAGCATACATCACATAATATCAATCAAAACAATAAAGGACAATAACAAAAATAAATAAAATAAAATAATAAAAAAAGAGTAGGGCAATAAAATCACTAAAAGGTTTCACATGAAGAGATTAAAGGCAGTGCAGATTCTAATAGTCCTTATGGCTTTCGTATTAGTAGATGTTGAAATCAAAATACAAATGTGCAAAATACACATACCATACTCATCTTTGCAACATTATAATGACACTTTAACAATGTGTTTTTCTACCAAATTACATGTAAAATGTAGTTCATTTAACTTACAGTGGAATGTTTTCCTCATCATCTTGTGATTTCAGTGCATGTGAGTTCCCGCACCTAATGCATGATGGGATACGCTCCAATGCGGTATTCAAGATAGTGTACATTCAGTGCGTGTTCAGGGCGTTGCGCGGATAGTAACAATCGGTTTTGAGTGTAGTTCACCCAAAATAAAAATTAATGTATGCAAAAAAATTCAAGTTTATAGAGTTTTAGTGTCGGTGGTACTACATTAAACTACTGTATTATGTTGAGTATAATAAAGCAATGAGGGGATATTTGTCAGTCCTGATAATGCCAAATGTCCTATGTTACCAATAAAATCTAAATCTAATTCTGTATTTTCAGCTTCAGAATCATGAATTCTTTTTATTCCGGTGTCTGTGGTCCTGTGCATTGGTTTCCCAGCACCAAGTCCAAACCTTTTCATTTCCACTCCCAATGTAATACCAAATTTAGCATTTTAATCAACAGTAATTTCTTTGTTTACCTTTTACCATATGTCTTGCAGTATCGCAATATCATTCGATATTCGGAGTTCACTATTATGATACATATCCCATGGCCCTCTATCAGAATCCAGAGTTTCAAGAAGATTGGAGAAACTTATTTTTTCGCACCGAAAAAAAAAAAAAACGACAGGGGTACCACTGTCGTTTTTTTTTTTTTTTTGAGTTTCTCTGATCTTCTTGAAACTCTGGATTCTGATAGAGGGCCATGGGACTTAGACCTGAGTGCAAAAATGGAGGCTCTAGACCCTTCCAGAGCTGAAATATTGAGATATTTATAATGGCATAAATGCTACGTGGGATCTCAATATCTCAGCTCTGGAAGGGTCTAGAGCCTTCATTTTTGCACTCAGGTCTAAGTCCCATGGCCCTCTATCAGAATCCAGAGTTTCAAGAAGATTGGAGAAACTTATTTTTTCGCACCGGAAAAAAAAAAAAAAAACGACAGGGGTACCACTGTCGTTTTTTTTTTGGGTCGAAATTTTGAGTTGCTCTGATATAGGCAAGGTCTGCTCTCTCCCACGCATGTTTACCGCTTTACCATTAACCGTTTTATACCTCGACGGTTTATTTGCCAGGAGTTATTGTTCGGCTTAAGCAAAATGTGGGTTTCTATTATACTCCAGCGGCAAAGCACAGCTAAAGCCTTTAATATCCATTTATGAAGATATTCATTTCATATTCAGCGAAATTCATGAGGTAGAAAATGTTATTATAGAGCCCATGAAAGCCAAAATGAGCCAATTGAGAAAGAAAGTTTGCATGTGCCTTCTGTGAGCACCGTCTCTCCAACCAAATGCCAAAAGTATTTTTTTCCAAAAGGAAGTCCACTGTTTTCATGACCATTGTCTTTTCACACAAAATGACTTGATTATCAGAAAACCTGATTAGCAAAGCCCAACTCATGCCATAGGTTGCAGTGTAGGGCTGCATTTTCATACCTGTAGGTCATTTTCTTTGTTCTGAAGCATGGATTTAATTTTTTACTCGTTCTGTTTGCTTTCACAAGGCAACATTTCAAAGCGTACCAAAATGTGTTTATGCAAGCCACGTGTATAAAACGATCCTCTTATTGGTCAGAGTTCAACCAAAGAGTTTAGAAGAACAAGAAGCAAAACTCTAGGTGGCGCTTCAGGAGCGCGGCCGCCATTTTGGGGTGAAAATTCCAACTGGAGTTACTGGACAACAGCATAGATAACAGTTTTTTGAGGTAGTTTTTACTTCTAATGTTTCCCAAGCGGCAAAATTCTAATCTGAAAAATGAAGCCTACCCGGAAGTGGGAAAAACTGCAATACATCGAAAATCCGCTAGATGCCGGTCCCAAAAGGGGGTGAATATCCATAGACCTCACATTGAAATGTCCGTTTTCACAGCATCAATTCATATGTTTACAGTTTGACTTTTATTGTATTTTTCGATAGGTTCTGAGTGCCTGACAACTGTGAGGTGAGTGAATTTTTTTCTGACTCGTTAGTTTAGATCGTATTTGGATATAAAATGTATGAAAAATAAGGGCGGTTAACTTTGGTTGACAGCTGATAACGGGCTGCGCCGAGTGGAATTGGACGTCTTGGCCATGATCTGACACGACGCATCTCTGTATCCTTTCTGAAACATTTGTATTTCTGAACATTTGTATTTTGTATTTCTCAAGATTTTCTAATATGGCGCCGCCCATACCCCCCATAAACAGCCTCAAACCTGTTCTTCAGAAAGTCTATGAGTGACGTCACAGACGCTTTGTCCATTTTTTTTACAGTCTATGGTATTTCCATTGTATGCAACTTTACACATTTACTACTTATATTAGTTACCAACTCCATTAGGCCTGAAATATATTTTGTACGTTTTAATCCCCTGGATCATGCTACAAACATGATCATTGATGCGCTGTGTCCGTTATCCTATAACTTTAATTGCCACTTTGAACAGTGGCTGTGTTTTTTTTTGTTTACATAGTTTTGTTTTAACGGTCATTAATATAAGATAATACTGCAAAATACTTGTGTTGCAATGGAGCGTTCACTTCTTGTCAATATACGTTCTTTGGTTCAACCGTTTTCATTCCTCAAGATGGACAGAGATAATCGCTCCGCTGGCTTTGTTTATTCGAATGTAGCCTTGATTCCTGCTCTGACTGATAAATTAAATATTAAAAAATATATTACATTTATGAAGCAAGTTAGGCTTCGTCAAGACA